TCCCCCTTTGCCTGACTGGAGTTTGGAAGATGGACAAACCCAGCAGTGATCTTAAATCTCCAGAAACCCAAGCCTTTAAGCACAGTGACTGTGATCAGTGCTCAGCAGCTGGCACAGCCTGCAGGACCTGCAAAATCAGCCCACAAAGCAGCACACCTAAAACCAAAGCACAGGAACACCAACAACCAGACTGACGGTAGGCTTTTACTCTTCTATTCAAAACAATACATTCAATGTTAATACATCAAGCCTCATGGGGTCTTGCCTGTTAAGTTTGAGGATTTGAATCTCATGAATGCGGAATCTGCATTGTTCTCAGTGGAGGTCACTTTGCTGTGCATGTAGGAACACGCGGGTTGCTTCAACAGCTTACAAGTGTAACAGAATTGTCAAACTCATTTTGAGCTCACCTCTGTTTCCTCTATGTCTCAGGGCATGCAATCCCAAATCCTTGTGGTTCAGTGGGGAGTTAAAGCCATACACTGATGCTATTTCAGGAGTAGAGTGGTTGGTGCTACTTCTCTAACTCATCTAACCACCACTGATAAGAACTTACAATAACCTTGCCTTATTCTACCCATCCCATTGAGATTTTTATGCTTGAAAAGGGACCAAACTTCACACATCAGCCCATATTATAAGAGAGCAGCCCTATACCAGGTCTGAAATTACTCTCCAAAGTACAACATGCATCATGATTTAAGTGATTAAGAAGGTGCCAGCAAAAGTTCAATTGAGCAATCATTAGTCTTCTAATGTATGTTATCATACTTCCCTCTCTCTCCTCCTTGGTTTAAAAAGGCCTCGTGATTAATGTCACCTTTCCTCTAAAAATGTTGTGCAAACAAACAGTTCACCATAAAGTTTTAATTTTAGGTTAATTTTCTGATAGTATCTACCTATTTGCTTACATTTAAAATCAGTGTCCACTGAAAAAAATTAAAATTCAATCTAGACCACACTGAATGTTTAAATGTGACCTCGGGCTGCTTCTAGAGAACACTAAATAGGGGTAAATTGTAAGAGTTTCTGAAAAACATCTGTTTTCATACAGATGTTTCTCATAACCACTGGCTGTAGCATGGCTGTAGACAGGTGCACAGAGCTGCAGTATGACACCAAGTTACACATTTTTTCTCCAGGGATAAACTATATTTTTCACTCGTTACCTCGCTGCTGTTGTTTTCCTTGTCAGCACAGCAGAGTTGAACAGCTTCTTTGAGCCGAGGTGCATAGCAGCTGCTCAGTTATTAAAACTCAATGTGATGTTACTAAAATCCCAGTAGTTGTAATATAATGAAGCATTTCAGGCTTCACAATCATAAGAAGTAACCATCCAATATCATAATAAAGGACTTCAAGTAAAAAGAAGATCTGAATGGAAATTACCTCCTCTAAACACAGTCCTTTTGACACTTGCAGGAAGGGATTTTCTTCAGGCATGGACCCCAAAGCCTTTTGGAGGCTATTTCCCAACTGGTGGAATATTCAGGGTTTTTATAGCTGCATTCTTTTCTCCTCCCTGAATTCAGCTTTTTAATTGACATATTCAGAGTAAAGAAAAAAACTCCCAAACAACATGAGGACCAGATACAAACAGAGAGTTTTTTCTCCATTGGGCAATGCTACACTGGGACATCACTGCACTGAGAGAATATTTAAATTTTACTGTATTTCTTGTCTCAAACATTCACCTTTTCCCTTCACAAATGGAACAGAAACACTCCCGTCATGCAAACAGCTGCTACAGCACTTGAACTTATTGCGTGTCAATGGGAAGTGTGTTTAAAACACCTAAGAAAGTGCTTCTGAAGAAACTGCTCCAGTGCAAAGTGGAGGATTTACTGGAAAAAAAAGAAAGCCATATATTTTGGTGATAAGTCTTCTATTCTGATTCCAGCGTATTCATAATTTCATATGAAAAATCTGTTGGATTCCACAAAACTCCATGTGTCTTTTGCTGTGACAATGCTACAATGGGAAATTTCTGGTAAAATAAAAAAAATCCAGGATTTTAAAAATATATATATAATTATATATATATAAAATTGTATATATTTGGGGTTTTTTAATTACAGAAGAATGTGATAATTTCTAAAACAGCAGTTAAGTAAATATGAAAGTATAAAGGGGGAAAGGATTGAATTTTGTCTCTCAGAAAGAAATAGTGGGCAAACAGTGGGCAAAATAAGGCTCTGCCTCTGAAAATATAAAATTCCTAAATTTAGGGTTTTTCTTTTGCCTGTGTTTGAGATATTGAATACAGAGGAATCATATGGAGTACTAGATAAAATGTGAACAAATTTAAAAAAAAAAGTGGAAAAACATTGAAAAGTCAGTATCTACAGCATGTAAGGACTTTACAGCAATGTTATGTCAGTACTGTCTCACTTTACATAGTATTTTCCCTTTTAGAGTACATATTTTATTATATCACTATTTAGAATACCAAATATAATAGTATGTTTTACTAATTGTTAAGAGTCCTGAATGTTTTAAAGTTTAATTATTCACAGTTAATATGGAACAGAGTTGCATTCCTTCACTGATGCCTTTATGGAGGTTGCAAATAACCCACTCATTGCTCTATTCTCTGCCTTTCAGGACTTCAGGTACCATTTCCATCACCTTGCATTATTAAAGGTATAGCTAGATAGATCAGCAGTTCCCCTGCCCTTCCCCCTTCCCACAGACAGGGTAGCCATGATCTCACTTTGTACTATGGAGAACTCGTTGAAAACTTGTTCTCAGCTGATATACATCTTCTCTTTTGAGGATTTGTTTTGTTTGTTTGTTAGTTTTAATCTCAAAAGCTGCAAAACTACTTTAGGATGAACCCAAATTTCATGATTAAAAGTGTCTGAAATTCTAAACCTTCCCTAAAGAGAAACACTTTTCCAACTCATTCACAAAGATGAGCATAAAATGAAGGAAAGAAGGGGTGTCATATTCTCAGTTTCCAGGAAAGCATTCCCAGCATTGCCTACAAATTCCTAGATAGGCATAGACAGCGAGATGGTCATCTCTCTTGAGGTGTTTCCCCAAAACTTCATCTTAAAAAACATCTTGTTTCCCAGCGCACAGGTCAGTTAAGCTGTGACAACAGGACATTTGCTTCTCAGTAAAGAGAAATGCCTAATGAGTGATCAAAATGCAAAGAAATAAAGTGCACTACTCAAAGTAAATATGTTTTAAAAGTTATATAAAAGGTTGAAAGAATTATTCCAGCATCTTAATTTCCATTGAGGATGAACAACAGTAACATTACATTTTCCTGCAGCCTTATTCACTAAGCCAAAAATGTAGCTAAAAGCTTCTGAAGTAAGGAGATTCAATTAAAAGAAGAACCTTTTTTCCAGTTCGGATCAGAGGTGACATATTTCTTTTAATGTGCTCTTTTGAATGGTGAGAAAGAGAATAGTACTTTATGATAAAAAAGATTTTTTTCCTCATTCTGCTTACCATCTCTACTTCATTTTACACAGGAATCTTTTCTCTTTACAATTCAGTGCAACATGTGTAAACATGGATTATACCACATCAGAAACCAAGTTAGCTATCTCGAGAGAATTTGTATCTCTGCTGTGTGTAAGTAAGCAGATTAATTCCTAGATCAGGCATTACCTAATGCATTTTCAATTCAATTTCTTCTTTTCTTTCTGCACACAAGATCAGGGAAGTGGGATTATTTTATTAATTTAACTAATATTTTGCATGTTTTCTCTGTTATCTTTCTTTCCTCCAAAAATTTTTGTTAGCTCCTAGTGAGTGATTTAGTATGAGCAAGGATGTGTAAAGACAAGAGACCTAAGCCCTCAACACCTTACAGAGAAATAAATGGCATAGGGAGTGACAAACTTTTCCTCCCACTACACTACTGGGAATAAGGGATTCTCACATATTTCAAACCCTGATCTACAGCAGCACATCCTGCCTGGGGTAAGCTCAGTTATTGTACAAAATTTAGGAGAAGATTATTTATTCATTAACATTTATGCTGCTTTTATGGAAAATCTCAGAAGTAAAGACTGAGCCAGTCTGGTTTTATTACAGTAGTGCCTGCTAGCACTGTTTGAGGTAAGGGTCTGTCAACATATCACAAAAGCATGGGATTTACTGTGTAAGATCAGTCCACTGGCCCATCGAGCCTGCTAGCATGCCCCTGCTAGCACCCAAGTCTGATGCTTAAGCAGAAGATGGCACAGTAAACCCTTAATACATCTAACTAATTGTGTGTAATGTTAAACTTGGGCACGGGCAGAGGCAAGACATTCCTTCTTGCTCTCTGCAGTGTTCATGTAATGCCCAAAGACAGGAGCCGATTATTCCCCTGTAACTAACAAAGTAACAGACAGTGATAAAAATTATGGATCCTTTGTAAGTCAGCCCTGTAACTAGCCACAGGAATGAGTGTGCTATAATGAACAGAGAAACTCATTATATGTTTCTATTTCACACAAAATTAACATTCAGTCTCTTTTTTTCTCCCTTTAAAATTGGCTCAAAATCATTCCAACCAATGTACTCTAAATTACCTGTTTAGGATGGAACTTCAAATTAGGAAGGGCAAGTACTTGAGCATTGAAAAACATGTCTTGAAGATCAGTAAGAAAAAGGACAGAGAAATTAGAGAAAGGAGAAGGAAAACAGCTGAAACAGTGAACAAGGAGAGATTGGAAAGCGAGGAGAAATGCTAAGTGGCAAGTACAAGAAAAATAAACAAGAGATAAATATTAGGATATGGGAGAAAGTGAAGAGTTAAGGGAATCTATGTAGCTAAAAATGAAACTGCATGGAGAGAGCTGTTGGGGTGCGGACAGAACAGCAAGAGGAAGGCATTCAAAGTCACCAACAGAATTTCCTCTTTCCACAGTGCTCCAGATCCTCTACTGTTTAAGATCCTCAAGTTCTGCATTTCAGGTGATCTCACAGAAATATTCAGAAGTTTGGAATGTGAACAAGATGCCACATAGGGGTGTATGTATGAACAAGGGAACAGCAGAAACTGTCAAATACATTCCTAAATCAACCAAACAGCCCAATAAGGGGAAAAAAAAAAAGAAAAAAAGGGAGTAATATCAATGGCTTAGGTTGATGCAGATCTCAAGGCATTTGGAGAGATTTTGACCTAAGTTAAGGATAGTAACGATTTTTATATCTCTTGAGATATATGTTATAGTTGGCATTTCTCCTATACAACACTTTCCTTCATCCAAACCTGAACTCGTCCTTGTCAGTATCCATATAAATGCAGCAATAATCTATAGTGTATACCTTACACAGATGTAAGGTGATCCTGTTTGTACTCTCAAACAACCCCACCCAAAAGCAACCAAACAATCAAAAAAAGAAGCAGGTTGTTTTTTTTTTTTTTTCTAAAATGAGTAATTTTTTTTCCTCCCCAGACATTTGTGAAATTAGTTATTTTAGTTGTCACCCCTTTTGGAGAATGATGTTCATATCTAAAGTTAAAATTAATACAAATGACTGAAGAGGCACAGCCTCATTACAAAGGATTTATACACAAACCCTCTTATCAATACCAACCTCCTAGTTCTTAGACTCCTAAAGACAGAAATATGGAGCCACAAATAACATTCATTTCCCAATTACTATGCCAACCAGCTCTTTTATTATAGACTGTATTTGCATTTGACTGACTGGCCTATTGGAAACATAGTGCTGCTACACCATCATCAAGCATTTTCTCTTTTTCAAAGACATAATCCAGACCAGTGCGCTATCTGTTGGTTTAATCATTCCTTTACATGATAAGGGATCCTACTCTTTGCAAATCTGGATTTCTGTTAAATACCTTCACATTCCAAATAACACATCAGTCCTGAAATGACGGGAATTCATTGCAGATTAATTGTTTATTGGACTTATGCACAAGTCTACTTATTTTTTTATATTTTTATAGGTGGTACATTTGAGAATGTGTTCAAAGGAGCACTGTTTTGTATTTACATTTTCTTTACAGCTAGGATCTGCATATAATATACATAAAAGTTTAGTCTTCTTTTATGTAATGAAATGTTGTGAACAGCCGGAATCCTACATGCCTCCTTTTTATTTACAATTTTTACATAAAGAGTATAAAAATTAGTTTAATTCACAGTGTGCTGATGTACAACCCTTTGGATGTCTGATCATCATTCCAGGGAATAATCTTGCAACACAGGTGTTTGTTTAACCTGTAGGAAACCTGAGACCTCCAGAGTGCTGTCAAGCAAGTTCGTTAATTTCTTTGTACCTTATCTCCTGCTAGAAAACATTTCCTGTTCTTTCCCTATAAATTCTCCCAGGAAGGAATTTCCTCCTTTTCCCACCTTGATTCAGACACCATAATAACAACAGCACGATTATGTGTTTTGTGACATTTAACAGTCTAGACTGTATACCAAGAACTTCTTGGGGGCAGAAAGCACAAAAAAAAAAAAAAAAAAAAAAAAAAAAAAAAAAAAAAAAAAAAAAAAAAAAAAAAAAAAAAAAAAAAAAAGGCTTATAGCAATTAAATTACTAGAATTAAAATAAATAGTCACAAATACTGTATTCCATTACTTATGCAGATATAATTGATTTTAATTTTCTCTTATTGTTTCTCAGTCTAATTGTTTCAGAGTCAGATTTAAAGTGAAGCTCTGACTGCACTGGCACACAAGTTTAACAGAAGGTCATACACATGCCTTATGTGGCCAATGCTGGGAACTAAGGAATCGAGTAAGAAGAATTTTTGCTATTAAAAAGTAAAATGATGGCTCTTTATAATTCTTTATATAGGGAGAAAGGAGGAATATCTATGGAAAAAATCCACCTTGCTTCTTCAGATATATCCAATTGTCTTAATGACATTCTTATTTTATATGTATCTGGGAGCAAGGCAGAAAATTGTAGTGCTCTGCTGTGCATTGTCTCTAAAATCAGAGTCATCATGGTTTCAGAACAAGAAAGAAAAGTCATCTCTCCTGCCCCACTGAAACATTTGGGATTCTACACCTAGCACACTGTGGTCAGAAATATGGCACAAAGACTTCTGAAATAAAAAAGGGTAAGTGAAAACTGTGACATTCCGTGAATTCCATGAATTCCATGAAAGTCACAAAGAAAGAAATAATGAGAAAAATTACAGTTGTTCAAAATGTCAACATTTTGAAGAAATCAGTGTTTAAATATTAACACTTAAAAATTCTACCAGTACATTGTTTTTCAGTGACATTCATCATAAATTCTGTGACTAGTCTATTGAATGCCATGTTGTGGAAATACATATGTGGGAAAACACCCACTACTAGAAACACTTTTAAGATGGACACAGATTAAAATAGAGTAAGAAAATTCTGTCTTGCATTGTGACGAAGATTTCTAAAATCTTGATATATTTCAAATTTCTTTCAAAGGCACATTCTTCCCATTTCGTTCAGGGATGATTTCAAAATGGCTCTGCTTCTCCCTCTACTTTACTGCAACTAAAATTTAAAGTAAAGTGAAATCTACATCTTCATTATACATATTATATCCAAAAGTATGCACTATTCAATGAAAACATGAAATGCCTCACTTAATGGGCAGTTCAAATATCCCTATGCATATCTTATAGGGAAAATTTTCCATTTGTATAAATCCACCTTTAAGATTTTTTTATTTCAATTGACAGTGCTTTCCTATATGATGTTAAAAGAGTAAGCAATGGTATTTAATTGAATTGAAAGGCAATATGATGATAGTGAGTCCAGTCATGCTTTTACTGTTAACACTGGTGCAATGATTTATTCATTTGCCATTCCACTTACTTTTGTGTTCGAACAACCATAAATTACAGTTACACCTCTACATAACTAGCAGTTGGCACATATGTGATACTGGTAATGACATATATATAAAAAAAGAAGAGATCATGAAAGTATATATGTTCTATTCCAAACCAAAAACTTTTTGACTTTGTGTAGCGAAAAATGGAAATGGTTGGTAAACACTGCCCAGGTCTTAGCACAACCCTAGTGTTAGCAGTTTATCTAAATATAGGGCTGGGCACTCAAATAGACCCTCATTTAATGAAAAAATATGTTAATTTGCAATTTTATTTTATTGGTTTTAATTCTACAATGGAATGATTTAGGATTTATTAACATATTACTTGGAGACTTTCTCTCTGGAGCAGCCTAGTAGTCATGGCATGTGCCTTGCACTTGAAGCATGAGCCCCTTGGATGGCAACTTCAGGCACAGAATTAGCATCACTCACATTTTGCACTCCTGTGATCAAAACAACAGGTGATTCACTACTAATTTTATTTTTAATTTTTCCTGATGGACTTTTTTATTTATTGGAGAGTAAAAATTAATGTTCATAAGGAGAGAGGGGCACTGTAGCCCTCATATTTCCCATGTAACACCCTCAGGACTTTGCTTTGGTTTCTTTGACTAAATCTTGAAAAGTCTTATAAAAAGAGTAACCATATTTTTCAGCAAAACAGCATTATGGTGCTTTGTGTTTTCTGACTGTTCATCTCCACCAGTAACCATAAACTGCTGGCACTAGTGCCAAATTTGTTACAGAGAGATTAATGTTGGCAGCACAAGAGCTTCTGAGCTTTTTAAAATAAATTTGGCACTGAGTTCTAAAAGGGTTCATCATCACTGATCTAGATTACATCCTTCTTTATCAGGAAATAAGTTTCAAAATTCCTATCTAAATAAATACTCCTGATTTATTTGTATTTTGTTCCGCTAGAGATTAATGCATATAGGAAGAATTCTCTGAAGTCATCTGCAAACTCACTGCATTTTTCATTCACTATCTCTAAAAAACTCACGTCTGCAGCTTTAGTGTGATGTAACTGTTATTACACTAATCTTAATTATCACTATTTTAGCTTTTGCCTCCCACAGTTGTTGCCATTGTACTCATGTCTGGTCTAAAACCAGGATTTAAGCTAGCTGAGGCCAGCAGCTGTCTTTTTAGTATCAGGTTCAGAGTCTAGCACAAAGGAGTACTAGTTCCCAACTAGAACCTCAACATGTTGCAGCACTACAGATGTTAAATGTCATAATAATGATTGTATCTTCCTTACACAGTGATTATGAACAAAGCTGTACATCTTTCAAAGAACTCTTGTTTTTACTTTTCACCAGCAGCTGAAGCAAAGAACACATTTCCATTACAAGATGAAGCTGTACAATCTCATCCAACAAATGATCTCACTCTGACCCTCACACTAACTTTGCTATTAAGCAAAAACAGGCACATTTTCCAATATTGATTCCAACTAATGTCTGATCCTAACAGGCATGATCTTATCAGGGCCCCACTATAATAGAAGGAGTGTCAGAGTTAAACAGAATAGGTTTAGATAAGATCACAATCTTCCTCACCATGGTGTGATGCTATCACTGAGTGAGTATAGTATTTGAAGTAATTATCATTAATAGATATTGGCAATAGGAAGAGTGGTCACTGCTAAGATCTAAACAAATTTGTGCATGATAAAATAAAACAAGTTTTATCCGAATAGTGGATATGGTATATGCCCTAAGAGACTTCATTGCCTTTATTTTTTTCTTTGAAATTATAGATATTGAATCAAGAGAGAAATATTGAGGAGCAACGTTGCTCCCATAGTTTGTTCTGTACATTCTGTTTCGTGGCAGACTGCCACTTCGGCCTTTCTGATGCTTTCTCCATGCCTACATTGACCAGATGTCCCATGAGGTGTTGTGTGGACAGACTCTGGTTCCAGGGTTTGCCTGAAGAGCCGTGGCCAAAGCTGATTTCATCAGGTCCTTCCTTGTTAGCACACAGTGGAGCAGCAATGAGCTGTCTGACAGCAGGTGTGGGAAGCAAGGGGTCATCTTTCTAGACTGTAAGCGCCACAGCTGTTTCCTTACTTGAATTATTCTTTGCAGGAATATGGGCAGTGCCACGGTGGACTAGCCTAGAGGACTGGTCTCTAAGGTAAGGGTGGGCTGCAGCAAAAGCCACAAGGTTGACAGTCATCTGGCTTGCTTTGGTTTTTGCTTCAACATTTGTTCTGATTGTGACAGACTTTCTGCATTCTCAGAAAAAAAGGTGGTACTGTAAAAGGGAACACCTGTTTTTGATGTGGCAAATTCTATGTGAAACTCTTAAGTCTTTGTCTCCTGAACCTGTTAGTATGTAAGATCAAAACAGCACAGAATGAAAATAATAATTTATAGCCCTGGAAAAAATGTTATCAACCTAGGAAAACTAAATCTAAAATCCCCTTAACTATTCACCATTATCAAAAATAAGCAAGTGTGCAAGAAGTAGAACTAAAAGGGCACAATCAGTTTTCCATGAAGAAATGTTCTATGTTATTCTGATAACAATACTGAACTCTAATACACTATTTTTCACTCTTACAGACATTAGCTAATTAAGTAATTTAAAAAAAAAATTTCTAAATTAATAGCTTACTTGCCAAGATTGCCCAAATACTGGTCTTATACAGGGAAACCTACAGGCAGCTTTTCTACTTATCTTCATGTATTTGTCTTCTCAAATGTGTGATTAACTCCAGAGCACTGAAATCTTTTTGATAATCACTGAAGATGAATGTATCAGGACAATCAGCAGCATATGGAACACAGAATGCTGCCAGATGTTAACACACTAAAATAAAGCAGAACCATCCATGTACTCTGTATCTTGTCTAAAAATAATATACTCATTGACCTTAACCCTATCAAACCAGTTCCATCTTCAAGGTCAAATAAAATAACAAATATTTATCTTCTATGGAGAGGTTCATAGAGTGTATTTACAGTGTTCAGTGTCACAAAATGCTAGGCATACCTCAGCCTTACTGCTTTAAATGAGAGCTTGGGGTGCTCAGCACCTCCTGGTGGTGCTCAGTGCTAGGCAAAATGAAGTCCTAAGTGCATTATTAATCACTGTTGGAAATTTGCGGTCATGGCGCATTCCCTTTCATTGCTTTTTATTTTTTTCCAAGACTACACATGGAAACAAAAACACCTAGCTAGAGTTAAAAATACAGGCATATAACTGTGATCTCTAGTGCATACTTCATTTGGAAGAGATTTGTGAATGCTCTATGCTGCCTTGAAAGAATAACTTCAGCCATCTTTGTTATCCCAATACAAGTGCAAATATCAAGGTAGCATACTGCTGCAGCTCTCATGAGGCTGGATACCAGGCTACAGTGGGTCAGGGCAGCAAATGCCACCCCATCAATGTCTGTACTTCTTCATGCCTTTCAGCTATCCCAAAGGAGACACTCCTGTCCAGCCTCACAGCCAGAGAAACACAGAAAACAGTGAGAACATCACAACTATATTCTGAACTCTCAGAAGAGTTCAGGAGACCTTACAGTGATAGTTGCAAGACTGAACAAACAGAAAGTTAAGCACCTTTGGTATGACTATCAATGAAATTATTATTTAAGGTCAAAAAGGCCATTTAGTCCCAAGTACACCACTAGCTAGAGCAAGCTAGTTGGTGCTACTACAAAGTCACTTAAATCCTGCAACAAGTGCTAGCAATTAGCTTGGAAGAGGGAATGTGAGGAATGTTAAGGAGGCACATGTGAAGGAGGCACAACCACACCTCACATTTGTGAGGTCAAGTTTGAAAACATGGATATTCTTCTTACTTTCCACTGCCGAATGTGGTGGTGGAGGGGGAAGTGGTTTCAAAAGTAATCAGTGCATGTGCAGTCATTTAATGCACACAGGTACTGTTTCTAAATGCATTTGAGATTTGCTAGCACAGAAGCACAAAATGAGCTCTGAGGATGCCAGTGATGCCAAGAGCCTCTCACAAATATTTCCACATCCAACCTATGGCGTGTTCTCTGTTTTTCAGCCTGGCTAATCGGGGCTCTGGTACCTGATAGTGGATGACTGACTATAAAAATCAAGATTTAGCTTGCTCCCTGAGGCATGCTGTACTGCCAGATCAAAGTGCTCACACTTGGCATCCTGAAATGAAATACCATTGCTCTCACTCTGAAAATGTGTGACACAGAAACCTGGGACAATGATCCTTAGAAACCTGGGACAATGATCCTTATAAGTTAGACAGTATTCCTTAAAAAAGAGGTACAGAAAGCTTTGAAACAAAGTCCTAAATAAAATCGAATGTAATGTTTTGAAAACTACACTGATTTAATATTTGGCTATACACAGAATGTTAATTCTAACCTTAGTTAGCTAGAAAATGGTTTGGGAAGGGATAATATTCAGAAGAAAAAAACCTGCAGGTAGTTGGGAAGGGACATGCCAAAGAAATATAGCAGTTACTTCCTTATTTCTCAGCTAGGCCTTGTTACATTTCAATTAGATTTTGAAAACGGTACCCTATGCAGTGTGACCAACTGTCTAGCTTCCTGTAACATCCCATCTGCCATCTTCTACAAAAAACAGTGTCTCGTTCTGGCCTTTTAAAGCCAATCTTGAAAGATTTTAGCTACCTGCAGGCATTTCTGGGCAGCTGAACAAGCGAAGTTGGCTGCAGACATTTCTCAGCATCAAGGTGCCAAAAGCCACAGGGTCATCTGGTCCTTTTCCTTCCCCCACACCACAGTTCAGCTGCGCCTACACCACTCCTGTCGTCTTGGTCCAGCCTGTTCTTAAACACACCAGCCACAGATTTCCTGCAACCTCCTGAATCACCTCCAGCTTTTTAGTCTCATTAAAATTAGGAAGTTCTTGTATCTAACCTAATCTTCCCTGCTGATACCTTGCTGAGTCTGGAAGGTTCACTTAATGCAACCTATCATGTTCTTCCGTGGCCCATGATCCAGGTGGATCCAAGAAGAGAGGGGAACACTCCACTGTGGATGCATACAGAATTAAGACAGTATTTCTTCTTGGAGGAGGGAATGGGGATTGACTAGAGTGAGAAGGGAATCAGGAATAGAGTAAAATAGCAGATCCCCAAAGAGAAAAATACAATCTGGAATGTAACACATATAAACAACAAGATCCAATATTTAATGTAGGAAGTGCAACCACATCCAAGAGACAAAAACACCATAAAAGCAAATCAGTAAGACTAAGACACACTATGAGGTCTAATGCAGAATTAAAAATTAGCAATAGTAGAACCAGCCAGCTTCAACACAAGCAGAAAAGAAGGAACTAAGACATTTTGGATCTACTATTGTTTTCTGCTTTATTGCTCTCTTTCTTTTATGGTAATTTGCCCCAGTTTTCTTCCAAAAGTGAGAACAACAGCTTGCAGGAGGGGGAGAGAGGGAAGGATCCTTCCTCACCTCCCCAGCTTCAAGGCACACCTCCCTCAGCTCCCCTAAACTTGTCTTTAATGTCCTCACACATGGCAGGAGTTTTAGTTTAGTGTTTGAAAAAAAGTGGTCACTCATCTCCCAAATCAGAGACTCATGTGGAAAAGAAAGCTTCAAAGAAGAAAAATTATTTTGGGAAATGTGAAATGAGCATAAAGAAATACATAAATAATAATTATTAACATACATGAAGCTTTTATTAAAAATAAAAGCTTAAAAATAAAATGCGTCTTCTGTGCATTTCAAATATCAAATCAAATGTCAAAGACAAGATACAAAAACTAATCTGGCAGGGAGAATTTTAAATTGTTAGACAGTCTCAGAGTGAGAATCATCTACATAAAGTATGATGATATCTCATATGTTATGTATTTTATTCTAAATGTATCAGTAGTGTTCAGAATGCTACCCTTCCCTTACAGTACTGAACAGGCAGCATTTTGTCTATGCAAAACTCAATTATTCCCTAAGTTTGTTAAAAGAGCTCAAAAAATTATAACTATGTTTAATGATTCAGAAGTTATGAGGCATTTTGTAAATACGTTGAAATATTTCTCCTAATTCTAGTCTGTGGAACACATGATAAAATGTATTAGTGAAAAGAAAGGGGATACAAGTTTTATTAATTAATATTCAGTTATTTAAGTTGGGATATGAATATCACAGAATGAGAGAAACATTTAATTTGGAAAAAACCTGTGAGATCACTGAGTCCAATCTGTGACTAAATCACCACCTTGTCAACTAGATACTAAGCACCCTGTCCAGTCATTTCTTCAACACCTTCAGGGATGGTGACTCCACCAGCTCCCTTGGCAGTTAATCCCACTGTTTGACCTTCACCCTTTCTGAGAAGAAATTCCTCTTGATGTCCAGCCTGAAACTCCCCTGGTGCAGCTTGAGGCTATGTCCTCTTGTCCTGTCACTAGCTGCTGAGAGAAGAGACCAATTCCTACCTTGCTACAACCAATGAAACAATATAAATCTGAAACTATATAAAATCCGATGGGGCAATGCATATAATATATCATGTATGGAATATCAGGTCACAGCAAAAACCTCTACAAGTAAATAATATCATCAGGTAGAGTACTAGCTGTGCAGCCCTTCCTCTGCTGCACCTGGTCTGGGGCTGTTAGAGAGGGTAAGGACAGAAAGTGACGGTGCCTCCCCTGCTCTTTGCTCTGGAGCCCCAGTGGCTGGCACTAATTGTTTTTGGAGCTTCTCTGGAGCCTGAGGAGCCACCACTGGTTTAGACTGATGAACCTTTCTCCCGGCTTAATAAATGAGACTCAGGACATTTACAAACTTCATTCAGCACTGAATTTCTCAGGCCAAGGTCTGAATTGCCCATATTTTGGTGGTGCAAAGTAGATCTGCTGCATCTGGAAAAGGACACATTTCGCTACCGGCTATGTGATGCTACAACGTCATTAGAAGAGGAGCTAAAGCTGAACAATGATTTTTAGGACATAGTAACAATCAATACTTTCTTCTGACTAGAATAGGCTATTTTTATATACTCACAATCACACTGTTTGTATATATATGTATATGTATACATACTTATATTTATTTTTACTTATTTATGTTTACATATTTATTTTTTATATATTTATGTATTCACACATATTGTGCTAATTATACTTACTAGAAATATTGCGAGATTTTTTGTTTTCTGTTCAAAACCATATTTTCACAAAACACAGTTAATTTTGCTGGTAATAAAACAACTAGAAATACCCTTTATTTCCACCATTTTTGAAAATTCGCAGGTTACTTCTCTTAAACATATTCAGACAGAAAAGGAAATGACCTTTGGAATTTTGATCATTCCGTCATGCTGTATGCAATGGCAAGGAGCCACTGTCTTAAGTGAAATCACTGGTCCATTCTTTTGTAAGAAGTAATTCTTTTATTTAAACGAAGATAGACAATTATTTCAAATACTGCTATTGTTACTATGATATGGTATCTTGGTCTGCATTTTTATTAACACAAACAAATTTTGACACCACCAAAATGGGAATTTTCTTTTCACACCAAAATTTTCTCTACAACACACTTTTATTCCAAACAACTGCTCACTATTGCCTCCTTGAATCTTATGGAAAGCACCCTTGATGTTTTCATAATCCTATGCATTTGTATGTCCAGACAGCACGTATCAGTATCATACTGAGTGGAACACAAGTGCTACCACAGTTCCACAGGCAACAGCATCAAAGTGCTTTTTTTCCTCTACCAATGCAGACTAAGGCTAACTATCCTTGGGCAAGCATAGCTTTATATGTAATAGCCCCCAAAATACCCAGGAGTATCCAGGACATTTTATTTTCAAACATTCAAAGAGAGAGAGCACAAGCCTTTGGTTCTTTCATTTCAGTGTCTACTGTAACTACCAAAGTCTTGGCTTAACAATGTAAACATCTTAGCAGACACAAGCACCTTCATAGTTTTATATTCCACTAAATTGATGAAATTTCCCATGCTTGTTCTATGAATGTGAAACTGTTGAAAAACAAATGTGCCAACATTTTAGAAACTGAATTTTATTTTAGAATAAAAAAATAGTGTTAACATTTAGTGAGAAGGAAGTTATTTCAAAAACTGCTGAATATTTAAATCTGACTTTTTATACCTGCTTTGTCTATAATACTTATGTTTCATAAGTAAGAAGAGGTATCATTATAAAAAGCATGAATTGAAAAAAATTTCCGCAGAGGACAACATTAATGTTAAATTCCTCATCTTAAATATGGGTACAGAACTAGTGCCTTTTTGATATTGCAGTGCAATGAGGTACATGAATGACCCTAAATAGAGATAAATTATTTGTCTTGTATGATGTTTTAAAATAAGACCACATCACATTATAAAATCTGTGTTATAAATTTAGCAAAATCTACATTTGCTAAATAAGTATTTGAGTCTTAAAGCCTGTGGTACAGAGAAGATGAGACTAGCTAGAAAATTATTAAGATAAGACAGTCTAGAAGCACAAGAATACGTTGCTACTGAAGTTTATTGCAGTGATTCTCTGTAAACATGTGGGTCCTTTCCAATTCAGCATATTTTGTGATTCTGTGATCCTAAAATGCAAGAGCCTGGCACTTTCAGATAGCATCTCTCTCTACTGATGTCTGAGAGGCCCTGGACCAAATATTCCTGCCTTTTTTTTCTGTTCTAGGCTCCTGACTTCGCTTTATCTCTCCTGCTGGGCCATCCCCTTGCTCTGCTCTCAGCTTGCCAAAATAGGACAGAGGGTTTATTGAGTGTTCTCCCAGGGAACTAAGTTAGTTTAATGGGAATGACTGGCAATGTCTACTACTAAATAACAGTAGTATTAGGATAAATTCTGCTCAATGGAGCTGCTTATAGCAAGCACCAAGTAACTGAATTATTTTTAAAAACCTTTCAAAGTGACTAGTTTTAAACAAATGCTAAAGTTCTGCTGTTTTGATAAACAGGTGTCAAAATGTACCATGGGTATATGGCCCCCTTAAAAAGAGCTATAGTCAAGGAAAAGAGATTAGAAAGCAAGAACACTTTTATGTAAAAATCCTCTGTTGACATAATACTACATTCTGGAAATCACCCATTCAGAAATGAAGGAAAAAAAGATGTAATTTCAATCCTGTCTTATTTCTATGTCCCTTAAATATTTAATAATATAAAATTACAGCTGTGGTAATGGTGTGCAGTACTAATACCAATGGACAATTAGCATTTAGAC